AGAAGAACACACTAACCTGCTCTGTGTAACCTGAGCTGAGGGTTGTAAACAGCGTCCAGTAGTTTCCGTTGTCGCTCGTTCTCCTCTTTTGAGCGACAAAGTTGCTCCTCGTACTCTGCTATCGTTCTTTCAAACAGCCCAAATATCTCTTCAGCAGCCGCAGTTAGTCGCTGCTTCACCAACGCTCTCAGCATTTGGACTTTACACATCTTCACACTTTAAAAACACAACAAAGACACTCTGCTAACAGACGTTTCTGCTCGACGCCATCTTCTTCAAACACTGTCAAGTTAGCTACAGGAAAGAATAGTGCTTCCGGGGCAGCTCAGCTGCTTTCCTTCAAAATAAAAGTCCAGATTACAGGTTTACCCAGAGAAACACACAGGAAGTAAGGGAATTAAATGTTTGTAATTGTAAATCCTAATCTATCTATCTAAATATGATAATGAAGGGTTTTAATTATACTTTTTAAATCATAAAGTCAAGGCTTTTTTAAATGTCAGACACTCTTGATTATTTAAGGACTGTTGTTTACCTACCAGAGGAGGGGTGTGACTTCTACTTCTTTTTTTAAAATTCAATTCTTTGAACCCACAATTTTTGCAAATCACAGTTCGTCTTTTGTTGACCACCCCGTTCACATAGACTCACCACCCTGAGTCTATGTGAACGTAATTATCTTATCTTATTTTGCCCTAAACTAGTATTATCATTATTATTATCATCATTATTATTATTATTACACTGACCTTAAACTAGTTTTTACTTAATTTTCTCTTTTTCAGCCTTTTTTTTAGTCTACGAAAATTCAAAATGTTCACCACTATATATTTCAATCGTTCAATAAAACTTAAAAACTCTTTTAAAATACGTATTCAATGTTTTTATGCTCATATGACAGAGAATTTAATGCTCAAACAAAAAAAAGTTATGTTAAACTGACATCAAATTCCTGTCAGGCGAGGTGTGTGACACATTTGTGTCTGCTGTACCAAAAACTTTTATGTTATTGTGTTAAACTAAAAGTTTTGAGTGCAAGCTGTTTAAAAAGAAAAATTACGTTGAGTGAGCATACTGGGGTTTACAGTGTGGTCCCAACTTAATGTTGCCACTGCAATGAGGCTGTAAAGCCGTGTTCATTGTGATGACATTCTCATTAATCTCATTTAGCCACTTGTTAGCAACCATCTTTTATAAGACACTTAAAAACTTCTAAATTCTCAGTTGGGTATTTACTGATATATTTTATGTCGTAGAACAAAACGTGTGTGTTAACCACTGACCTTATTTCAGACATCTAACCAAAAACGAGGAAACAGGAAGTGCTTACATGCTAACTTATTTCCAGGTGTTAATACTCATTACTTAGATATGCAGACTTAGGAGCAGAAGCTGAGCAGCGTGGATGGAAGACTAGGATTTGTCCAGTGGAAGTGGGGTGTAGGGGATTCATAGCAAGATCAGCTGTCTCGCTCCTGGGGAAACTTGGAGTGCGGGGACAGAGTTTGAGGAAGACAGTGAAGGAAATGTCAGATGAAGCAGGTAGAGCAAGCCAATGGATCTATAAGAGAAGAAATAATGTCAGTTGGGGGCCAGCAGGGGGAACTACTAAGCAGGGTACATAACTCCTTGAGATCAGGTGAAGAGATCCACTTCCTCTCAGGAGGAAATCCAGGAAGAGGAAGGTTATTTAAGTGTGGGAGTGGCCTATTTGAATCCCTTTTGTTTGAAGGAAGGGAAGGAAGGCTTTTATAAAGTAATGTTTAAGTTGATGTAATGTTTTAATTTGTATGTATTTTGTGTTGATTTTGAGTGTGTTCTGATATTTTATGCTGTAAAGCACTTCGTTATTTATATTGAAAAGTGCTATACAAATAAAGTTATTATTATTATTTTGTTTGAGACCATGCTGCAAAGTTAGTGTGTTTGCTGATCCTATGAGTTCATATATGTCCTTTAACTTTAGCTTATATTGTAGTTATGCTATGTAGCGTGTGAAAAAGAGTATGGTGAATGTGCAAGGAAAGGTAGTATCAGCCCTGTCTCTACCTGGAGCTCGCACGTACGCAGCCTGGGTTTGGTTGGAGGTGGCAGTGCTGTTTGGGCTGAGAAAGCCATGTGTAAGTGAGGTAAAGGAGGTTATTGGGTTGGTGCGGGGAGCAGTGAGACCTGGCATTAGGGGAGTGTCTCTGGGACACCAGAGATCACTGTCTAGCCTCCTGGAGGTGTCGTGGGACCAACTAGACGAAACACTGGTGAAAGGAGGTTCCCACCCTATGACCCCAAAGACATGTTATTTATCACTGCTCACTGGTCTGTATAGTTAAGCCTTGCCATAATAGCTTATCATAGGGCTTAGGAGGTTATTCACTGAGTGCTGATCTTTTCTCTAGAGCACACACTTCTTGTGTTTATTTGAACACCACTCTGTATATGACATATAATCTGGGCCAGGATTGTCTGCACATGGCTCTCACCTCAGATTTCACAAGTAAACGTGAAGCTGGCTGAGCTGAGATGGTGGTAGCTAGCAGAGACAACAGAGGGCTCATGGTATGCTGCTCGCAGTGCCCCTTTATATTCTGATGGTAAATTCATCTATAATAATACATTACATAACTTCAGTATCCCACTGATTTGGTTGTAGCCAGGTGTGCAAACAGATGCCTGCTACTGGTCATCACCTGAGCCCCATCCTCCATGTTTACACAATCAATATTTGTTTTTATCTCACTAAACAAAGTACTGTGTCATTCCCATTTTAAAAGAAGAAGCAACATTTTTAAATATGTATTTCAAAGTTGTATCATTTTATTCAGGGTGGGGTTACAAAAAAAATAAATTGAAAATGTACGCTTATTAACACAAGTTATACAAATAACAAACAATGAGAAATATGAAATGATGCAAAAAATAATCAAAGGACATAGGTTTAATTTTCATCAACACTGGCGAGACACATGAGGCAAACAAATATTTGTTGCATTGCTTTGTCAGCATAGCGCAGTCACTTTGCTAAGCCAAAGTGTAAACAAAGGTTTTACGTAAAAAATATAAAGTTCCTTATGGCTGTATACATACATACATACATACATACATACGTACATACCATAAAAATTAAATGAAAAGCCCAATCTCTTTTACTAGCCCGATGTAGCTACATTTTCACAAGTAAAGGCCTGTCTCAAATAGAGGCCTGGTCTGGTTGCCAAGCAGTTACTTGAGTGATACTTAAGTCACTATGCAATATTATTGCGATATGCTGAGTATTGCGATAAAATATATCTATTACCTTTTTCAATTGTAAATTATGTCCTCAAAGTAAAACTCTGTCAACATGGTGTATCTAATAAGATAAAAGTTGTTTTATAAATCATTTTTATTTATAAAAAACTTTTCAAAACAGAGTCACAAAGTACGATTAAAACAGACAATGAAAACAACAATTTTTAAAAGAATTGATTAAAAACTCTTAAACGTATAAAAACTAAGGAAATAAAAGACACTTTAAATGAATGTCAAACTCAAGTAAAATACAGAAAGAATCTCTGATATGTTTACAGACTGTACCGTAAAAATTCTATTAGTAGCCTGGGCGATTATTTGCTTAAATCCCTGAACTCACTAGGCCAATGATTGGGAAAGGCCTTTAATTCCTTTCACACAAAACTGTTGAGGACCCTAACGGACTAAAGGAATATGAGTAACTTACTGGGTAATCAAGGAATGGGCACAGGATTCGAGGTAGTAACAAAATGCTTTTTTTACATCCTGAAGAACTTCTATAAAAATGACTTGCTTTGCAACCGGACCAGGCCTTTAATTGAGACAGGCCTTTATTTGTCAAAAGTTGTAGCTTTTATCTGAAGTTTCATCAACTATTTTTTTTAATTTTCATCGACTGAAATATCTTAAATTTTCCTGAACAAAAATTTTAAATTTTTTAATTTGGCCAACTAAAACATTTTGATTATTTCTCAACTAAAAATTTTGAATTTTCATCAAATAAAATATTTAGATTTTTCGTCACCTTAAAAGTTTCAGAATTTTTGTCAACTACAGTTTGTGAAGACTAAAACATTTTCAATATTCTTTGACTAAAATTTCTGAATTTTCATCAACTAAATGTTTTGATTTTTCATTTACTAAACCATTCTAAATTTTCATTGACTAAAGCATTTTGAACTTTAATTAAGCCGACTAAGGCGTTTAGAATTTTTGGCAACTAAAATTTTGAATTTTTGTCGACTAAAATATATTGAAATTTTTTAGGGCTAATCTAAAAAATTGGAAGCTTTGAAGCTTTGAAGCTTTGTTCGATGGCACGGATTAGTTCGATTGTGAAAAACAAAATTCGAACATTCTGCCTTTTGTTTCCCTGTTTTTTGGGGGACCTTGAACGCAACACTAACCCCACTCTTGTCTGTGGATATTCTCATTCATCCAGGTCATAGTTATCTCAAGGCAATTCAATCGAACGCAACTGGACTTGGTTTTGTCTTATAAGACGTTTCACCTCTTATCCAAGAGGCTTCATCAGTTCATGCTTGTCTGACTAGGCTGGAACTAGTCTGACAAACTGGTGTGGAAGCACCCAGGTATTTAACCTCTGTGGAGGTCTTCATAAGGTCAATGATTTCATTGGTTCGTTAGTGCTCCAATGGTGTGTCAATGACAGTCGTTGAAACTACAAATACAATGGCAATTTTTACAGACAGAAACATGGCTGTGCCATGGGCTCACCGATATCTCCCACTGTGGCTAACCTGTACATGGAGGATGTAGAATACAAAGCCTTGAACTCCTTTGAGGGAACAGCACCGAGCCACTGGTTCAGATATGTGGATGACACATGGGTTAAAGGGCCAGTGTGTAATATTTGGCATGGTTTATTGTCAATCTGAATCTGAATCTGAATATTCTACTCATTAATATGTTTATACAAGTATATGATCGCTATAAAATAAAATTTGTTTGGTTTTCATAGCCTTATAATTATGCGTTTCGCGTGTATAAATGAACCAACGAAGACAGCGGAAGGAAGGAAGAAGGAGGAGGAAACAGCAGAGAGTGTTAGTAGTTCGTCGATAGAGAGTAGTGAAAAGTTTTTTTAGTTATAAAGTTTGCGAATGGACCACACTTACCACGCAACAGGAGAGAATGAACCCGAACCGTCATCTGCGAGGAAAAGAAGACACAACTTCACTCCTTGTGATGCACTCTCTGCGGCGCTTTTCCTCCTGATGATATATCTCCCCAACGATGGTAGCAGTAGCACCAAATCCCATTCTGTGCATTCAGCCTCTCTTCTCACCCGCTCAGCATCAAACACATGGAGTTCCTCATCTGTAAGCTCCAGCTCAAACAGGTATGGCTCTGGGTCTGTGTCCGCTACAAGAAACTCTTCAAAATCACGTTCAAAGTCGTCCATTGCAACTACTATAGTCCGGAGATATTGCTAGGCTAAATAAACAGCTGAGCTCTGTTTGCCGGCTACGCTGTCAGTCAGTGTGCGGGCTGGAGATTGGTGGAGCAGAGAGGGGAGGGGGGTCCCCACTCAGTATGGTAAACGAGTATGTGTGTATGAAGTGTGTGTGTTACGCTAGAAGAGTCAGAGTTTGGGACGGAGTGGAGTGTTACCGGAGTTTCTGGAGTGCTCAAATAAACTGGCCTTTTTCCTGAACGCTCCTCTGGTCTCCTGCTTGTGAGGGATTCATTACAATATCGTAACATGGTTTAGTTTTCTAAATAAACATTCACCTCGTCGCTAGATAGACCTACTCCTGAAAAATTTGTGCGCAAGGCTTTTTGTCCCTACGAGGCCGCCGTCATTTACCCGACGGGAGGGGTGAGCGAGTGAGCCCTGCAATCTAGAATTTGACCACTGATGTCACTGTTTTCAACCCATTTTACACACTGGCCCTTTAAAATCAAAACTCAAGAGGTACAAGCTTTCACTGAACACATCGATTCAGTGGACAGAAACATCAAGTTCACAAAAGAAGATGTTAAGGAGAATAGTTTGCCCTTCTTGGATTGTGACGTGCACATTACAGAGGACAGAGGCCTCCACATTGGGGTATACAGGAAACCCACTCACACAGACCAATACTTACTGTTCGATTCTCACCACCCACTGGAACACAAGCTAGGTGTTATCAGGACCCTACAACACAGAGCTGATAACGTACCTACCAGCACTCAGGCCCAAGGGAAAGAGCATGAACATCTGAGGGAGGCTCTAAAAACTTGTGGTTACCCCAGTTGGACCTTTGTGAAATCAGCAGCCTGTTCCAGAAAGAACAAGGCGCGATAACATTGTCATCCCCTGTGTGTCTGGGTTATCTGAAAAACTCAGGAGAATTTTCAGCAAACACCACATCCCTGTGTATTTCAAACCCAGTAACACACTCAGACAAAGACTGGTACATCCAAAAGACCGTACACCACACACCCAGAAGAGCAACCTAGTGTACGCTGTCCAGTGCAGTGAGGAATGCCCAGACTTGTACATTGGTGAAACAAAACAACCACTAAACAAACGCATGGCCCAACACAGAAGGGCTAACTCGTCAGGGCAAGACTCAGCTGTCTACTTACACCTCAAGGAGAAAGTACGCTCCTTCGAAGACAGCAATGTGCACATTTTGGACAGGTAAGACCGATGGTTTGAAAGAGGTGTAAAAGAAGCCATCTATGTGAAATTGGAAAAGCCATCTCTCAACAGAGGAGGAGGTCTGCAACACTACCTATCCCCCACGTATAATGCTGTGCTTTCATCCTTGCCCAGGAGGTTTAACAGCTTAACCTCTAAAAACAATGGTCGTTCAAAAATGGCCTCACGTGACTCTAACGACTCCAATTGCAGCATTGCAGCAGGAGTTTCAACGACTGTTGTTGACACACCATTGGAGCACTAACAAACCAGTGACATCATTGACCTTGTGAAGACCTCCCCAGAGGTTAAATACCTGGGTGCTTCCACACCAGTTTGTCAGACTAGTTCCAGCCTAGTCAGACAAGCATGAACTGATGAAGCCTCTTGGATAAGAGGTGATACGTCTTCTAAGACAAAACCAAGTCCAGTTGCGTTCCATTCAATTGCGTTGAGACTAACCCCACTCGCCTACTTTTTGTGTGTGCAATTTTAATCATGCCGTCTGTTCACAGTTGTTTTTTTTTGTGTTTTTAATTGATTGATTGATTGATTGATTAATTGTTTTTGGTTGGTTGACAAATAAAGGCCGGCCCCATTAGGCGGAGTAAAGAAGTCATCTGGTCTGATTGTTGCATGAATTGCCTAAAAAAGTTTTACAGTAAATCAGAGAACAGGGATATTATTGCCTCGGGTTATTTGAAATGGACAAAGATATTCTTTACTGGTGAGTTAAGGGAGAAAAGCTATCATGTAATTAAAAAAGAAAACATTTCCGACAAGGAAATATAAAGCCTGATGTGCAATGAATGGAGACCTATTATCCTGCTTGAACGGTCCGCTACGCTCTGAGTCTGGTGTCAGTAACACATGCTGCTCTGAGTCGCGCATCTGTCTGCTTGCGCTGCAGTGCGCGCCGAGAGTTTTAATTTTTAGTGTTAAATCAAAAGTTAAACACTACTTATCAGCAACCAGAAGTGTTTTTTCGTTTGTGAATATTTTTATCTTAATTCTAGGGTTGCAAGAAACTACCTTTTCGCCATAATTTTTAAGTTATTAACTTTTTTGGACTTTTTTTTTCGCTTTTATTTGTTAACATGTGTAGCCACACCAGGCTTGTAAGAGAGACTGGCGTTTAATTGGGACTAGGCTTTTAATTGAAGTCTTATGGTATGTGGTGTACATTACGCACCGCTAGAGCTCAGAAGTATCTGATTTGAGACTCAACATCCTGATCATGCGCTGCCATATTTGGAGAAGAATCACAGAGACAAGTTTTTGGTGTCTTGAACAATTTTCACCACGATTGGGATTTTGGCAGAAGACCATGCACATTGATCCAAGTACAGTGATGTGCATTCAAACGACCATCGACACAGTTTGTTCTGGTGTCAGAAGTGTTCAGAAACACGACACCTGAATCACTTCCCACCTCGGTGGACTCCCAGATGTTTTGTCAGACCTCCCTTTTGTCTTAAACTTTTCTGACCCTCGACACACTGATGGTTCCTGAGCTGATACAGCCACGTGAATCTTTGGTTGCAGATGCTGCAGCTGTATCTTTTCTCTCCGGTGTGGACTCTGATGTGCGTTTGTAAATTCCCACTCTGCGTGAACGACTTCTGACAAAAGGGGCAGCTGAAGGGTTTCTCTTCCGTGTGTGACCTCATGTGTTGGACTAAGTTATCCTTGCGGTGGAATCCTTTACCGCACACTGAGCAGACGAATGGTTTCTCTCCAGTGTGGGTTCTGATGTGGATCTTCAGACTCCCCTTGGAGCCGAATCCTTTCCCACACTCTGGGCAGGTAAACGGTTTCTCACCAGTTCTTCGTGCCAAATCACGGACAGGAAGCTTATCATTTTTCAGAGGGTTTAAACCTGACTGAGGTTCTCTGGCCTCAGTCCAACCGTCATCGAATTCAACCTTTATTTTAGATGACACTCCGTTTTGGTGATCAGTTTCTGGTCTTTGGTCATGTGGGCGTGAGTTCTTGACTGATTCTGGTGCTGTTTTCAGCTGTTTAGTCCGTCTTTGTTGAATCTGTGATGACTGACGACCGATGCATTTATGTTTCTTAATCTGCAACCGCCAGGCGAATCTTTTGTGACAAACGCCACAGCTGAATCGTTTCTCTCCAGTGTGGATCCTCATGTGCTGCGTCACGTTTGTTCTCTTTGAAAATGTTTTACCGCAAACCGAACAACTGAACGGCTTCTCTTCCGCACGAGTTCTCGGGCTTCTCTTATCCGATCTTTTCCCGCACTCGGAGCAACTTAATGTCTTCTTGTCAGTTCTGCGTCTTTCGTCGCTGATGGGAGCTTCGTCAGTTTTCAGGGACTTTAAACTCGACAGACGTTCTTTGGTGTCCTTCCAAAAATCACTATCAACACTATCGACACTATCATCAGTATCCAAGTTCCTGGTTGGTTCTTGTCCTCCACAGTCGTCACCATCATCTTCTGTTTTAATCTGTCGAGTCAAGCTGCTGGATGGAGGCTCCGCCTCTTTGTTCTCCTCCGTTTGACGAAGCTGCGACAACTGACAATCTACGCACTTGTGTCTTTTGACTTGTCGACGACGGGCGAACGTTCTGTTAAAATACCTCCGGCTGTAGATTCTGTCCTTCGAGTGGACCTCCATGTGTTTAGTCAGGTATCGTCTCCACGCAAATTCCTGACTACAGATCGGGCAACTGAACTGGGTCTGTATCGTGTGGACCCTCATGTGTTGGACTAAAGCCTCACTGTCGCTGAAGTCAGCACTACACACCGAGCAGTGGAACGGTTTCTCTCCTGGGTGGTACTTCCTGTGTGTCAGCAGAGGGTCTTCAGATGGTTCGTGACACTCGGAGCAGCCGAACGGTTCCATGTCTAATTTTGACCGAGGTTCTCCAGTCTCTGTCCAATCATCACTGTCATCAGTCTCAGCTTCGGAAGGGTCTCCATCAGTATCTGCATTGGAGTTCCTGGCTGGTTCTGGCCCTAGACAGTTCTCTCCATCAGATTCTTGTTTCATCAGTTCGGTTTGAGTTTGATGACAAATGTACAGGTGGACTCTGAACTGATTATACCGGTTAAATCTTTCGCCACAGATGCTGCAGCTGTGCCGTTCGTCCACCGTGTGGATCCTCATGTGTCTCTGCAAACTTCCAATCACCGTGAAAGACTTCTGACACACCAAGCAGCTGAACGGTTTCTCTCCAGTATGAGTCGTCTGGTGCGTCCTCAGGTAGTCCTTGCGGCCAAATCTTTTACCGCACTCAGAGCAGCCAAACGGCTTCTCACCTGTGTGGATTTTCATGTGCGACTGTAAACTTCCGCTCTGGGTGAAAGATTTCTGACAAACCGAGCAGCTGAACGGCTTCTCTCCGGTGTGAGTTCTCATGTGTTTTTTCAGGTCCCCCCTAAGGCCGAATCCTTTGCTGCACTCGGAGCAGCTGTATGGTTTTCCACCAGCGCTAACGGAAACATCATTGTTCTTCAGAAAGTTTAAACCTGACTGTGGTTCTCTGGTCTCCTTCCAAAAGTCACTGTCGTCAGTCTCAGGTTCGGAAGAGTCTCTGGGCACTGGTTCTGGTCTGCCACAGTCCTCTCCATCAGCTTGTGTTTGATGAAGCTGTGAAGACTGAGGTTTCTCTTCATCATCTTCACTCTTCACAGGGACAGGAGTGAATGGAAAATGCTCGCCCTCCTGACTGATCCTGAGTTCCTCCTGTTCCTCCTTAATTCGTAAGGGCTCTGGGTCCTCCTGGTCCACACTGGAGCTCCACTCCTGCTGCTCCTCTTTAACAGCAATCACCTTTTTGTTGTCTGAAGGTGAAGCTGAAACAAAGACAGACAGCTCTTAAAGGAAACCCAGAAACATTTGGTAACGGACCTTGATAACGACAAAGTTGAGTTGGCTGAGAGGGTTCCAGTCGTGGAAGGTTACCAATTTTACTCAAGTACTGCACTTAAGGAGAATTCTGAGGTACTTGTACTTTACTATTTTCATTTCTGGTTCTTTATACTTCTACTGTACTACATCTCTGTAGGACTGCGTACTTTCACCGGCATAATATCACAAAAACTTGGAAATCCTGTCTCAAAAGGACGCACAAAAATGAGTGCTCGCATTTATTACTTCTAGGATGGATTACTGCAATTCCAATTTGCTGCGTCAATTCTCAGACTTTCCAGCTGACAGGGACTGACTCTTATAGTTAGGGCTGGCTCAGGCTTGCCTTGGACCAGCTGACATTCATGTCCTTTTACTACATATCACTAACTCAGTTCCTTCCCAGAAGCCTTTGTGCCCCCTCTTTGTTACACTGGAGCACAGCACAGCCAAGACTGCACTGGGACCCCCTTCTTCTACACCAGGCTCATCCACAATGGACAACCGTCTGCTAACAGGCAGCACAAAGCAACTGTTCCCTCCATTCATGAACTAATTATAGTTAAGACTGGCTCTTAGAGGCAGGGCTGACTCTGACATAATGAAAGAAATAAAAAGTTAACATACAACCCTGCTATATATTTTTTATAAATAAATAAATAAATAAATAAATAAATAAATAAAAAGTTAATATACAATCCTGCCATATTTTTTTTCATAAATAAATAAATGAATTAAAAGTTAAAACACAACCCTATTTATTTTTTAAAGTAAATAAATAATAAAATAAATAAGTTAATATACAGCCCTGCTATTTATTTTCTTAAACGTCACATTAACCGGAACCCAGTCCCAGCTTCTTTCAACCCAGTCACAGTAAAGATAAAACACGTTACCTTCGGGAGCTAGCTGTGGCTAACAGGCTAACGTTAGCTTTAGCACCATTAGCAGAGTGGCAGAAAGGAAACAAACCTTCTCCTCGCGGCTTCGCTTCCGGGTTTAGAACCACCTCCAGCTGTTTCCGGTGTCGGTCCATCTCTGATTAACGAACGAACATCGGTGTTTGTGCCGTTATTTGATGCAACTAACGGCTTCTCTCCGCTCACTGCTCCCGGTGTTAAGGCCGGAAACACGTCGACGATCACTTCCGGGGGACGGATCTCACGATAAAATCCTCTTTAATTTATTTTAATGTCCTCACTAAGAAAAAAAACAATATTTTTTTCTTTTTTTGAGGCAAAAATATCAAAAACTCAATGTTTATTTAATTTAATCTATTTTAATCTAATTTATTTCACACAGAAAGAAAACGCTATTATATTGTAATATGCCAGAGTACCAATATATGTCAGAATCAGAATCAGCTTCATTTGCCAAGTACGTGTGTCTGACTCCAGTAGACTTGCTCTCAATGTACCAGAATTGACATAAGGACTCAAAATATAGTAAAGAGATGGAATATACAGAAATATACAATATACAAAAAACATAAAAATATACATCAAATATAAAACATAATAAATTTATTAATATGGAATCAGTGGTATTAGCAGTATCAGTATTATTTCCATATATTTCTTTAAATATATTTGCCATTACAGTACTTTAAAAACATCTCAAAAATTAGGAAAAAAATCATACTAATTTAATTATTAATTTGTATTTATATTACATATTTAGATAGGTTTATATTTGTAAGACAGATTTTTGCTAATTAAGTTGTATATTTATTAAAGTCTAAGCTTTTATCTGTACACTGAAAATTGCTTTTACATTATGCTTTTCATTACTTGTAATATTACTGTATTTCTGTCTGCTTCTTTGTATAGTCACATCATTTTTACATGTTTAGAATAAATATAATTTTTCATCAAATATATATAGTGCAATAAAATTAAATGTATGGCATCAACAACAGCTGATATTCATTCTTTTCAATTTTTGAGACAAATGGTAAATGTATTATTTTAGCATCACTACCTTTAGACGTAGCAGTCACTATAGTCTGTCTTATTAAAAATATATAAAATTATTTCCACATATATATTTATAGAATGGAGAACATTAAATGTATCATTTAACAACACTGAACAGTCAGAAGTAGAGTTGCAACAGTATGAGATTTTCACAGTACTCTTTTACTTCTATTACTCCTGTTGTTATTCTATTAATTACTGGTTTTTGCTTTTGCTCCTTGAAAACACCTCTTATCTTGTTTAGTTTAAATATTTTGCAGGATATTCTATAGTCTGTTGTTTTAAAAACTGGGCGCAGTGAGTGACCATGACCCACTGGTTGTTCTGGCTTTCACTGTGAATGTTAAACTGTTGTTACTGTAATGTGAAGCATTCTCTGGCACAAGAATTTCCCTTGGGATAAACAAAGTTCTATTGAGCTGAATTGTATTAAACTAAAGTTTAATTAAATTGAATTGAATTAAAGTTAAATTAAAGTTAAATTAAACAGAAAATGAATTCAACTGAATTGAATTAAGTTGAATTTAATCATATTAAACTGGATTACATTAAATTACATTAAACTGAATTAAATTGAGTTGAATGAAATTAATTTGAATTAAATCAAATTAAATTAAAATAAATTAAATCAAATTAAATTCAATTAAATATCGCAGTATACCTTGAAACCAGTATGTAGCTGCATTCATGTGTTTTTAACTTGTACCAAACAGTCAGTTTTAATGACATTAGCTTAGCATCACTACCTTTACCATAAAAGGACAAATTAAGTGTTTTTGTGGAGCATGTTTTTGAAGAAATTATTCAGCCTTTATTAAACTTTTTATTCTTGTATAAAGTTGATAGAACATGGTGATGAAAATCCCTCCACGCAGAGTGTTCATGTCTGGAGGGACATTTTCTTTTAGGTTACTAACTTTCTGTTAAGACACAGCGACATCTAGTGGATTTTTTTATCATAATATACGATGAATGCTAGAAAGAAAAAAGTACAATTTACATATTGGATTTTGATACGGATTTCTTCACTTTAAGTATATTTTGATTTTAATACTTCTGTATTTTTAATTGATTTTAAATGCAGGACTTTAACCTGTAACAGTTTTTCTACACTGTGGTGCGAATATTTTTACTTAGTACTTCTTCTACCACCAACGTTCTGTTGTAGCGACAAACCGTCATTATTTTATAAAGTGATAGATTTTAAGACTGTCTCTGATTATTTGGACTACAGCTACAGAATAAAAGTACAAAAGTATCAGCATAAAAAAAAAACGTATTCAATATCAGTTATGTCTGCAACAACATTTCACCATGAACAGGAACATTTAAAGAAACAAAAACATTGAGTTTGGATTCACATTTTATTAACTCAAGCTAATTTCCAAGTAAAATAAAGTTGATCAAATATTTGTCAGAATTCAGCTATTTGATTTGAATTTATGATTAAAGTACAACAAGTTCAGAACAATAAGACCTGAGATCAATCTGAATGTTTAAAGTGTTACACTGCTCATGAATTATGTTGACAGTGAAATTCAGACACCGAACATCTTCCATCATCGACCTTCCCGGTGATCTGGTATGATGAGGGTTAGGAACAGAGACAGACAGGAAGTTCCCCAAGAAAAGTCCGAGTATGAGTTTTGTCATCTGCGGAAGAAGAATGATAAACCATGCAAGTCGTCCTCTGTAGTTTTAAGAGGGTTCAGTAGTGGTGTGACAGGACATGTATTCATTCTGAACTGTTGGGTACAGGACATTCGGTTTGGTGCATCACATGTTCATCACATGCTTTTGAAAGCACTGGTTTCTGTTTATCGGCTGCAGCATGTTAGTCAACTTAACCCCGTAAACGATTTGTGTTTAAATGTGTGCCACCATCATTCAGCCAAAATCGGATTTATCTGTTGAATCACTTAATACATTTCATTTATGTCAGCGTTACTCGAATGTGTTGATCAGCGGAACGAGACAAAAACAGACCAGAGGGAGAGGCCTTCTCCTCGATGCATTCTTATTCAAATTTATCGCTGCTTTGTCCGTGTACCTACACGTCAAAATGTGATGCTCTGGGTAGCCTCCTGCATCAGTTTTGGACATTCTAGAACGCCGTGTCAATTTACGCTTGTCACATGCATTGTGTCATTTCAAAATACACTTCCATTTTCACAGGAAACGTACACTTTTGGCAAAACACAGTTTTTAGGTTTACTGCCTTAAGTTTCGGAACAAAAGCATGTGGTTAGGTTTGGATACACATGGTGGTATGTCTTAAAATTCACACGGTAAATGAACAGCTGACTACCGGGTAAAAGTCTGGAGTTTGTTGGACCCATCCACCTTATACGGATGTTCTCGCTCTTTACATAACTGTATATGCTGGCGGCGTTACAAACTGCCGTCCGATGCATATACCACTCAGTACGTTTCCAATTAATGCAAAGTTACAGAGGTTAGGTTTAGGAAAAGAAACAGAGTGAGGACGTACCTTACAATGACTTAAAGTTCCAAACACATGACTCCAGGGGAAAGTCCGTTTTTTGTGACCCATCAATCACTCCAATTTGCCTCTTTACAAGCGCTAGGTACTGGTTCCTTGTTTACTGTCGTCAGCTCATTGGTCATGTGATCACAGCCTTTCAAAATTTGTGGGATACATACAAATTTGGGTACGCTGTTTTTTGTAGGAAAACGTACTAAAAAATCTGTGACAACAGACTGCGGAAAAAATAATTCAATTGGCATAAATTTTACGTTGTGCGGTCCACACTTGACACAACAGCAACATAACGAATGCTTAGTGTGTATTCTCTAGCGCCACATGGTGGACACTGGAAGTGGTACAAAACTGCAATACGTCACTTCCAGCTCCATGCACGAAATGAGAGAAGCATAGAGCTACAACGCCAAACAAAAAATACAACAAAAAATGGTCGGACTCAGGTAATAATGTGAAATGTTTCCCGTTATAACAAGATGGTTTTCACATTTTATGCACCAAATTTGTACATATCCCACATATTTTGTAAGGCTGTGATCATGTTAACAATGCGCTGATGGCAGTAAGCAAGGAAACAGTCCTGAGCACTTGTAAGGAGGCAGGTTGGGGTGGTGGATGGGACTTTCCCCTAAAGTCAGGTGTTTGGATCTGTGAAAACTTTGAGTCATTTTAAGATGCGTGGCACCATGTTTCTTTTCCTAAAACTAACCTCCGTAACTTTACGTTACTTACATAGGACATAGAGGACATAACATCATTTGTGGAGTGCAAATTCATAAGATATTAGGGCTGTCAACCAATATTCTAAATTCGAATTTTAAAAAAAAAATGGACCTTCGAATGTGAAAATTGATATTCGATTGTGGAGAGAAAAAAAACACCACCACAGCTGTCCTCTTTGCGAGTGTGCGTTGGCCTGGGCCGCTGCACTGAACGCACTGCATAAACGCCAGGGCCACACCGCCCGCAGAAGTGCTGCTGGTCGACAAGAGGTTCTGCTCCCAGCTGTTGTCTCCGTCACCTCCCGGCTTGACACATTCGCTCGCGGCTCGCGCAGAAAATAGACCAGACGCCGAAACGGAGCTGCGCTGCGCGGCGCAGCCGGTGTGGATGACACAATCGGTTAACATGGGCGGTGTGGCCATGGGTCAGAGAAGGGGGGCGAGCGAAAGGTCCGTGGTCGTTTATAACGTAATGTTATAGATAATTGTTTTATGTGTTTTAATGTGTAGGTATGTAAATGTTTTCAAAGACGTTTATGTTGAAATAAAAATATCTACAGGTAGTTACGTTTCCTTGTATTAATACATTTACAAGTATGTTTCCTTGTATTAGCTTGCCCTCTTGTGGACATAATGCGAAAAAAAAAAATTCGAATGGTTCGAACCTATGAGTTATTTTTAGAAGGAATATTCGAACGTCATTTTTGAGCAATTTTGACAGCCCTATAGGATATCATACGAACTGTTCTGTGAAGATACGCTGACAGACATCATTACATACTGCCGTTATTTATCAAGCATTTCATTAAATTTTGCTCAATGAAAACATAATGTTCTAGCGTTCAAACTCACGCAAGTAATGTGACGCGAAAATTTGCACCGTGTTTAGTGTGAACACAAAATTATGTTGTTATGTGCGCTGCTTACTTTGCATCATTTGGGTTGTCACCACTGCGTCACCTGGCATGAATTTGTGCCTAATCATGACCGTGGTGCAATGGACACTAGACTGACACAAATGATGCAAATGAAGCAGCATGACTGAAGCAAGTAGCGTGATTTCTTGTCATGCGCTTATCTGCGTGAGTAGAAAAATCTAAATTTGAGTGACCAATTCGCTCCACGATAGCCAATCAGCATTGAGATCCTCCGGGGACCTATGACGCCAAGGACGTACTGGTGGAAGTTCATTCATCATTTCACATACGTGTGACATGAGTCAACACAAAATATTCTAATGTTCAAACATGCAAAAGTCGAAATTTTGTCCCTGTCCTACATGGTTTCTCTCCGATGCAAATCTTCCTGCGAGGACTCACCAACACACTGATGGTATTTCAGCTCCGTATACCAGGCAAAACCTCTGTCGCACACACTACAGCTGTACTTTGTCTCCTCGGTGTGGACGACCATGTGTGACTGCATACTCGCCTTATGTGCATATTTTTTACCACACACTGGGCAGGGGAAAGGCTTCTCTCCGGTATGAGTCCTCATGTGGATCTCCAGGTGGGACCTGTAGAGACATTTGAGACCACAAACGGGACAGAAGAACGCCTTCTCTCCCGTGTGGTACTTCATGTGGTTCTTCAAGTTGCAGTCGTGGAGGAATCTTTTCCCACACTCGGGGCAGCTGTGCGCTCTCCTCAGAGCATTATAACCTGGGTCACTTTGGGGAATCTCGCTGTCATTTGGAGAGTTCGAACCAGGCTGAGGTTTCATGTCATCTTTCCAGAAGTCGCTGTCAACGCTGTCGACACTGCCGTCGCTCTCGGATTCGGCCCTGACCTTTGACAACTTTGCACCTGATGGACCTTTTCTGGTCTCCTTCCAAAAGTCGCTATTGACGCTATCGTCAGTATCTGAGTTCTCGGCAGGTTCTGGTCTTCCACAGTCCTCTCCATCAGCTTGTGTTTGATGAAGCTGTGAAGACTGAGGTTTCTCCTCATCATCCTCAATCTTCACGGGGACAGAAGTGGGCAAGAACTTGGTGACATTAGCCTCCTCCAAACCATAAAGGTGTCCTCCCTCCAAGAGTTCCTCCTGCTCCTCTTTAATGTGTTGCGGCTCTTGGTTCTCCAGCATCCCCGTCTTGCCTGTACAAGCTACCATGTTTTGGCTCAGACTTCCTGAAAACGGTTTCCCTGCTTCGGGATTTCTGCTACAAATCTTCGGCCGGCGTTTGTTAAAAATTTCATGACTCTGCAAGACTTGTGGTTTCAGACATCCGCTGTTCTCGTTCCAACAATCGCTGTCATCCGTCTCGGTCTCGGAGGAGTCTTCGGGCATATCATCAGTATCTGGTCGTAAATCTGGATCTGAGTTCCTGGCTGGTTCTGGTCCTCCACAGTCCTCTCCATCAGCTTGACCCTGATAACGGTCTGTGGATGACTGAGCGGCACATCGATGGTACTTCAGCTGATGATGCCAAAGGAAGTTTTGGTCGCAGTACCTGCAGCTGTAGATTCTCTCCTTTGTATGGACCTCCATGTGCTTCGTCAGGTATCGTCTCCATGCAAATTCTTTACCACACACCAGGCAAGTGAACTGTGTCTGTCTGGTGTGGATCCTCATGTGCTGGACTAAAGCCTCGCTGTCGATGAAGCCAGCGTTGCACACCGAACAGCAGAACGGTTTGTCTCCCCTGTGGCACATCATGTGAGAACGCAAGTTTTCACGCTTGGCGAACGTCCTGCCACAAACTGAGCAACCGAACGGTTTCAGACCCGTGTGGATCCTCATGGGAACCTGGAGATTGTGCTTACGGTTTGACCCTTTTCCGCACTGGGAGCTGATCAGTAATCTGTTGGCAGCATGAGGTTGAGGGGAGTCAGCAGCGCACTGGTGGCTCAGGAGCTGCGACTCCAGGGTGAATCTTTTCTCACATATGACACAACTGAGTAGCTTCTCTCCCGTGTGGACGGATATGTGTCTCGTCAGATGTCCTCCAGACGCAAAGCCTTTGCCGCAACTTAAGCAACTTAACGGTTTCCTGTTGGTTGGCAGAGTGTGACTGTCCTCAGATCGTTCATGAGACTCCAAGGAGCCAAACAGTTTCTTGTCTGTATTATTACTAACCGTTTCACCCACAGAGACATCAGTTTTCACGTTGTTCTGAGGCTGACCGCAAAAATTACTGCTGACAATGCCTGGTTTAGTTTCAGTTCTGTTATCAGAGCAGCTGAATGATTTCTCATAGGTATTATTACTTCCTGTTTGAGTCACAGTTTTGCCCTCAGTTTTCATATAGTTCTGAGGCGGTCTGCAAAAATCACTGCCGACCTCACCAAGTTTATTTTCAGCCTTGTTATCAGAGCAGCCATCATTTACAGAGACTTTTTTAGTCCTTCCGTAAGTAAACCCTGACTGATGCTGCCGGGTCTCTTTCCAAAACTCAATGTCAACATTGTCATCAGTTTTTGGAGATGGTCTGGTATCTTTATCAGTATCTGGTTGTGGATCTGAGCAGGCTGGTTCTGGTTCTCTACAGTCCTCTCCATTAATGCCGGCTCTCCTTCGCAGCAAGGACTCGCCGAGACACTTGTGTTTCTTGATCTGGAAATGCCAAAAGAACCTCCTGCTGCAAACACCGCAGCTGAACGGCTTCACGCCCGAGTGGACCGCCATGTGCTGCGACATGATCCCTCTTTGCGAGAATGTCTTACCGCACACAGAGCAGCTGAAGGGTTTCTCTCCTGTGTGGGTTCTCATGTGGATCTCCAGATGTGAACTGAACTGCCGTTTCTGTCCGCAGACGGAGCAGGTGAACAGCTTCTTCCCTTTGTGCATCCGCATGTGCATCACCAGGAGGTAGTTGTTGGGGAATGTGGCGTTGCACTCAGAGCAGTTCAATGGTGTCTTGTGTTCATCACATCTGCGAAGGCGCGAATATTCACCGACGCACCTGTGGGCTTTGAGCTGCGAAGTCCGCCGGAATCTTTTGCCGCAGACGCCGCAGCTGAACGGTTTCACTCCTGTGTGGGTCGCCATGTGGTACGTCACGGCTCCTTTGTGTCGGAACGTCTTACCGCAGATAGAGCAGCTGAAAGGTTTCTCTCCTGTATGGGTTTTCAGATGGTAGTCCAGACCCGGTTTCTGAGTGAACCTTTTACCGCACAAGGAGCAGCTGAACGGTTTCACTCCCGTGTGAGTTCTCATGTGCATGTTCAGGTTCCCCCTGTGTTTAAATGTTTTAGCACAAATAGAGCAGCGAAACGGTTTCCTGTCCCTCCAGTCTGTTTCAGTCTCAGCTTCAGAGGAGTCCGAAGTCTTGTCCTCAGAATCTGGATGTGAGTTCCTGTCTGGTCCTGGTGGTGGTCCTGGTCCTGGTCCTCCACAGTGGTGTCCCTCAGACTGAGGTTTCTCTTCATCATCTTCACTCTTCACAGGGACAGGAGTGAATGTGAACTTGGTGATATCAGCCTCCTCCAGCCCTTGAAGCTGCTCTCCCTCCTGACTGCTCCACAGTTCCTCCTCTTCCTCTTTAATGTGTGGGGGCTCTGGGTCCTCCTGGTCCACACTGGAGCTCCACTCCTGCTGCTCAGGGGGAACCTCTTCTTTAACCACCAACAGCTGCTGCTGGACCTCTGCACCAAACAGGAAACAGGAAACACACAAACACATTATAGAAAAACAGTTTCTATAAAAGTCGAGCTTGATGTCCACGTTTTCTTTTTGTGAACCACTTTTTATATGTTCAGTACCATCGTAGCTCAGCAGCTGTGACAAAATTCATTTATTATTTTGATTTTTTAGGTTTAAACAGTTCTCACCTGAAGATCTGATGCTAGCGCTAGCAGCTAGCCTCGTCGAGCCACACCTGACCAGGGGTTCAAACTGAGTCGGTCTACCTGTGACTAACTAACTCTTGTATGTTGTGTCCACAATTACACATAAAGTCAGGGCACGTGAGCAGCAGCGGTACCACACTCGGGAATCATGTGGTGATCTAACCCCCAATTCCAACCCCTGATGCTGAGTGCCAAGCAGGGAGGCAATGGGTCCCATTTTTATAGTCTTTGGTATGACCCGGCCGGGGATCGAACCCACGACCTCCCAGTCTCAGGGCAGACACTCTACCACTAGGTGATCGCTAAAATGCGATTAGACACATATTCCTGCTGGGCAGCCCAATGGACGCAGCGCTAATGACATGAAATATGCAAATTAAGCAGCACGAGTGAAGAGAGTGGTAAAATTTTGCATCACATGCTCATTCGTGACACTTTAAAAGTCTGGACTTCACTGACCGGCCAAACTAGGGATGCACCATATTGTTTTTTGCCGATATCCGGTATGTTGACATGTAACAACTCATTTGACCGATGACCAATACTGATATATCCACTTTTCTCACCTAATTTTAATGATCGTCAATCTCTTCTGTCGTGGAATTAACATCATTATACAGACTGTTACGGTGACGGCTCACCAGCAGATGGAGACAAGAAACACAATAAGAAAAAGTACGTAGGCTGATTCTGATGACGTTTCGATACTACCGTGCATCCCTGAGCCAAAAGAGAGTAAATCTGAGGTTGGAGTTTCAGTTTTGATGGCGAGCGTGTTTCCAATGCATGCATTGGAAAAATGCATTAACATGCATTTTGCAAAAATGCATTTACTCAGACACCACACTGCAGACAGTCATCGTGAACTGTTACTTTATTTACCTCATAAATCAGGACACACCGCTCCATGTGTCTGAAGACCAAAGTTTTGAAATTATTTTACTTTACAGAAGCGCAGCAGAAACCCAAAACAGGTTCTAAAGTAACAGTTCAGGTCATCTTCAGAAATTAAGGAGGTTTTCTTTATAATCAACCAAAAAGTGTCTGAAGTTAGCTGATCACCCAACTGACACCGCAGGGCGCCGTTAAACTATAACAGCAACCAACTGTGTATCATGCTGACATTAAAGGACAGTTTTTGTCGTCAGTGTCTGACGCCGCAAGTCACTGCCCAAGCGCCAGATTTTGACGACTTCAGAATGAGAGTGGGTTGCCCAGGTGCTGGAGATTGTGCAGGAGCCAGGACACAAGTCACTGGTGTAATCAATCACTCTTTTACAGCATGTGGGGTCCCTTCATGTGTCGGCCAGAGAGGACAAACTTCACCTACGTGTTGAAGGTACCTATGGACGCGCTTTAAGAGCGGCTCTGCATCGTCCAAATCTGTCAACATGTTGTTTTTCTTATATATTGTTGTCAAAATTTGTACATTAATACTTAAACTGAAGTGTGTGATATTGTACAACACAGTCCTCCACATGTAATTTATCATTTTCTTTTCCCCTTATTTTCTAAACGTTTATCATTTATTTTCTATTTTATTTTACTTTATTTTCATTTATTGTCCATTTGTGGATCTACACAAGTGGACAATATGTATGCACAAACACTGGTGTGTATGTTTATGTTTATTGTTGTTAAAATCAATAAAGATATTGTTGGGAAAATGACTTGATGATTATCAAATAGTAGCAAATCTATTTTCTGTTAATTCAGTGACTGACTCGTTGTTCCAGCTGAACCAAAACATTTTCATATGTTTCGAGTACAAAATCTTAATTTGTAAAGTAACTAGTAACTTACTAATGACTTGCACATGTGTGTGCTTCTTGTAGGAAAGTATCCGAGTACATGTACCTGTGATTGTCTCAGTATCTGCAGGTCAGTGCTAAAGTAGCAGAGCCCGGAAATGCAGGTACCTGTAGTTCCTCTTCAGTACAGTAATTGAGTAAAAGTAACTTTGTTCCACCGCCTCCAAAAAGCCTCATTAACACAATAATCAAAGTAGCAGGAGCTAGCTGCTAGCTGCTAACAGGCTGTGTGTGGACGCTGTAGCGAACGTTAGCTTAGCACGGTTAGCATTGGCAGTAAAGATGTTTCGGTCAGCAGAAAACAAAATAACCAACCTGCTTCTCTCCGCAGCTTCATGTCGGACTGTAAAAAACACCAAGCTCCGGCTGACTTCCGGTTTATAGTTGACCGGAAACGTCGCGAGCTGCCGTTTGAGTTAAAGTTAAAGATCCTGAAATGTGGAGATTTTCCACAGTTCGATTCAAAGAAAACAAAACCTGTTTATATCCCAGTTTACACTCAGCTAACATGCTAACCGAGGTCGGTCTGAGAGGAGCGCCATGACCCGGAAACACAAATACAACTTCCGCTAGACTCCTCCCGCCTTCAGTCTTAAAAGACGGTTTTTATTCACTTCACTTCACCTCGAAACAGATTTTATACACTGAAGAGTTTGTTGGTCATTGTTTGACAGTGGATTTGTTTTAATTAGTTAGCCACCTCCCCTGGGGATTTTAAGACAGGATTTATTAATATATTTAAAACGAACATTTTCAGCTCCGAGCATAATTTGAGATATTAATATTCTGAATAAAGCGTGTAATAACAATCAATCAATTAATCAATCAATCAATCAATTTTATTTATAAAGCCCAATATCACAAATCACAATTTGCCTCACAGGGCTTTACAGCATACGACATCCCTCTGTCCTTATGACCCTCACAGCTGATCAGGAAAAACTCCCTAAAAAACCCTTTAACGGGGAAAAAAAACAGTAGAAACCTCAGGAAGAGCAACTGAGGAGGGATCCCTCTTCCAGGACGGACAGACGTGCAATAGATGTCGTACAGAACAGATCAGCATAATAAATTAACAGTAATCCGTATGACACAATGAGACAGAGAGAGAGAGAGAGAGAGAGAGAGAGAGAGACAGAGAGAGAGACAGAGAGAGAGACAGAGACAGAGAG